TGAGGTTCTATCATTACAGGCTACAGATGATTCTGTGCTGGGCTGAGAGTTTTTTCCCACACTTGTTGTTGCAAACTTTACTTTGGAACCAATAAAACAAAGAGATTTCCGGGTGAGACTTAAGTTGCATAAAGAAAGGGAAAAGAGAAATCCAGAGGGAGAGAAAAAGTGAACCTCAAGACAATATTTCCTGATTTCTAAATTCCTCTTGTGTTACAATCTATTTTGCAGCATCTGCCTGAGTCTTTTCATTCCTCAAAGGAGTTTCAAAAGCAAACAGAAGGTAATGAAGTAGTTCCTGAAACTTTTCCTGAACATGTAAAATCACTGGTGACTATTTCACATTTCCTTTCACTTAAAAATCTGCTACTGTAATCAGAGCAATGCTCATGCGTTTTCTACAGTCTGATTCAAATGACCCATCCAAAACAGCTATCACCATCCTCTTTACTCACAGTACAACAAACAGTATGTGCAGTATGTTTTTTTTTTCAGCTGGCTGTTAAAGGTTTAATTTTGATTGATGCTTTCCATGTGTCCGTAAAGATCCATGTGACATACTGTTAATTTACTCATCTGCACACATTTGTGCGACCTGTCTGCACCATGAGCATGCTGACTGTGTGGAGTTGTTGCACAGTACTCTTTAGTGTTCATCCTTGGTTCTATTCTTAAGTGGTTCCCCACTGTTTTATTATTTTTCAAAACTTTTTATGTTGTCTGGCCAAATACAACAAAGTAGTTCTTCTTTCTGTCAAGAGGTCCCCATCAGTGGAGTTTTCTAGTATGCATGTGTGGAACATGTCAGTGTACTTATAGCGCTGATGGCGGTATGAACAGAAGCACATCCATGTCTGCAGCCTACGTCTGTCAGACGGCAAGCAGAAATCATGAATGGTTCTTTAAAGTATAAGTGGGCGTTGACGTCCAGATAAGCTCAGTTGTACTGCACTGTATTCATAATGTGGACGAGCAGCTTTCTTGAAACATCTGAACGCTTGGACTGAAGTCTTCACTTAAGATAAAGAGTACAGGTAATCTGGTCCAAATAGGCCATCTGCTGTTCCCACAGCCAACAACAGAAGCTAATAATCAGATTGTCCCACAGTCAGCCGAGATAAAGACAAAGCAATAAAATGAAACAATCTGGTGCTCTGACACTACAAGCAAGAGGGCTTGCTATTTCGCTGCTGGGCTGGGGCAGGAATGTGCTCTTTGAACCAGCTTTATTTAACAGCGGAGCAGCATACGCACAGCACGGCCAGAATCTCCGAGCTGGCCCAGGGACTGTTTGCTCCTGGCGTGGGCACATCAGATGCGGGGCCACTGGGTCAGGGAGCTGGCATCCTCACCCCTGGCACAAGTTGCTCCCCTCGGGGGCGTAAGGGCTGACACCGGGCTCATGGGGAGCACCAGACAGACAGGGGCCTACCAAACAGCTTGTCACCATAACCAACAGTGACATGGAACAATGAATGCAATTATTTACAAGAACACAGTCCAAGTCTCTTTTAGTCTCTCCCTATTACGCCTGTTTACTTTCACTCTACTTTTGCGGGGCAGCCTAGAGGGGCTGTGACCCTGCCGGCACAGTCGCCAGCAGGGCGTTTTCACAGTACCCAGGGCTACTCTGTTATTCATGCTCTCTTGCCCTGAGGCCTGATCAGTGTCCAGCTGCAGCTTCTTCCCTACAAAGTGCACATTTTGATGAAAGGTCAAGACAGACTCATCAAACAAACAAACAAACAAACAAAACAAATGTATAAAACTACACGAAAATGAATAGGCTCTTCGTTAGATACAGTGTTGAGTAATGTGGAAAAGATCTGCCAAGGGTTCAAGCAATAATACAGTAGTGAAGCATTACTTTCATGCACCATTAGGAAGGAATTTCTCTTTCTATTGCTCTTAACTGCTGAGAACCTGGTCCACCAAAACGTTTCTATAGACACATGGCTGTGAGTGGCATGGGGGACCTAAGACCGGAGTGAGCTGAAAAGTAGTTTGAAGTACAAATATGACACATTCAGCCCCATAAAATTAAACTATAAATTAAAATGCAATGTAATACATTTTTAACACAATGACAGAGATTCATTTGCTAACAAAAAAACAGAATTATTGACTATGCCCAAAAAAAGAAATAAATAATAATAATAATCTAATAAGCTCTGCAATTACATACAGTACATTACCAATATTCATAGCTGGTTAGGATGCCCATGGAAGTTACCAAATGTGGTTCTTTGCCCATTAAAGGGTTGATGACTGTCCATCTCCAGCCAGCTGTGTCTTAACTTTGTTTTTACATCTTCATTTTTACTAGAACAAGTGCAAATACATTATTATATAGCAGAGTATGCCTTGCCTGTCAGACCTGAAAGGAAGCCCACCTCACCTGTTGTAATAACCTTAGTGTGGCTGAGACCACAGTGGAACAAGATGGCTTCTGCATCTGTGCCTCACTGAACCAGCTCCAGCTGAACAAACAACACACACTCAATGTACAGTAGAAGCTACAGAAGAATAACAGTCCTAGTGTATATGCAAAGTCAAAAGCATACACATTCACACACACACACAAGGACACACTTGCACACATACAGTAGATACAGCAGGTTTCATTTTTCTTTTTTCTTGTGGCCCTTGGCTGAGGTTTCCAAATGAAGAGAGCGTGGAGTGTGGCAGAGGGTCCTTCCATAAACAATAAACAACAGTTATCTTGTGTGTGGCCGTCTGTGGTAAGCGATACATGAAGCCAAGACCAGCATCTGAGAGGCGTCTGCTCCTCTTTCCGCCTTTGGTCTTGCCTCTTTCAACGGCTTATAAAAGTGTGGATGTGTGTGTACACCCAAGGGTGTGTGACCGTGTTACACAGCACAGCACAGGGCTCCTCTGTATTGTATTTTAAAACTGGCTGGAAATAAAAAGGCAGAATTAAGAGTGGTGGGGGCAAGAGAACGGAGGCTGCCAGCATGCTGCAGAACTGCAGGGAGCTGCCCCAGATCCCAGCTGCCCGGGACTGGCTGAGAGACTCAGGCGAGTGCCATGCTTCCTCGGCCTTCATGGAGGCAGGCCAGAGAGAGTGGGTGGAGTGGGAGGTACATGTCAGAAAAAATACCAAAAATAATGCCTGTGCCTATATAAAGAAGGCATTGGGAGACACACAATGCTGATATACACAAGAAAAAACATAATTAGTCATAATTTGTTTTCAGAGAACAAAACAGTTTTAAAGCAAGAATTTGTTATATAAGGTGTTTGTATTTTATGGAGCACTGGAACATAGAAGCAAAGAACTTCCTGAGCAGTCTAATGAAATGGTTTTCCAGTATTGGTGGCCTTAGTGCCGCTCCTTCTCCACAGGGGCTGGCAAAACTCTGGAAAACAAAGTTTATCTGCAACTGTTTAATGTATTATTTGTCTAACAATCAAGGAAGCAAGTTTATTTTGCAGATAATTATGGCTTTTGTTGTGTTGATGGGAAAGATAAGCCAGAGTTCCGAACCATTAACTGGCTATGCTTTTTCTGGCAGATGCTAGCACTAAGTTTGTAATGCAGAAGCCTGAAAGAAAACTAGAAGATCCTGGCATTATGGGGAAGCCTTCCTTCCACAGCACAACATCAATAAATCAATCATTACAGACTCTGAATAGATGCACTTACTAGATTACACTTGTTCTTTAAATGAACAAACTTATCATCTCAACAGTTCCCACCCTCCTATGTCTTGATTCACTTACATCAAATAACATGACTCAATGAAAAATTGAGGCCATTAACTATACAATATTCAAACCATATGTAAAGTCAACATCTGATTTGACTCCCACCACACACTGAAGGGAGTAATACCAGTCCAAAGTGGAATGTGGGCCCTGAGCATTGTGGCTCTACTGTCAGCAGTAATAACTACAGCTCAGGCTAGAGCCCGTGGAAATCCCCCGGCTGGTCCAGATACTTTTGCCCTCTGTGGGCGCTAATCATGGCACTTGGCAGACAGCAGCATTTTTCCATAGGTCCTCAGAGAAAGCCCTTCCTCTGCAGAAGCAGGTAATCACAACAAGAGCACACCACACCCCAATGGCAGGCCAATGAATGCATGCCTGCTTTGTCCACTCCAGGAGGAGCTGGGAGACTATTTCTGCACTTCTGACAGAAACAAATGACCCCTATGTCACCATGCCTGTCAGCCTCACTGCCTGCTAGGGAGCTAATGTGGGTGGTGTTTGTCATTGTGTGCACCCTCCCTGAGGCCACGGGCAGGAAGTGAGCTCTACTTTGACAAGGGAGAAATTCGTTTACATCTATAGGCTGTTTACTCACCAACACTATATAAGGATGGTGGGAAGCTTAGCACTGAGGCATTGAAGGTTCAGGAATGGGAGTGCATGTGGTGCAATTGGAATTTTAGATTCTCTGAGTCAACAGACTAAAATTAGTATTGAAATGAAATGAAAAAAAAAGCACATTTTCAGGCCTCTGGTGGTATCCATTCCCATAATTCCTCTAGTTTCCTGCCCTGCATGTTTTCAGCATACCTCCATTTACCAGGGTTCCCTGGGTTTGCTTCCAGTGTCAAAATCCTGACATATGCTGCCTGAGTTTTCCATAGCTGAATCTTTTTCTTTGGACACCTGGACTTTAATGATCATGTCCAGAGGGGGCCATTTGGATGTATTTCATTACCACCACTGACACACTGTTCTCACCAACACCTTATTCAAGCTGCAGTAGTTATATTGGGAACTGAGTTATGACAGTGTTAGGGATGCTGTTATTGGACATACATACTGTTCCATGACTGTGAGGATATGGAGTGTGGAAACATGCTATAAAAACCAGACATTGTAATGGTGAAAGAAATACTTGGTCCCCTGCTCTAGTACACTTTTTATGGTTTTGGGGTATTGATGTTTCTGGTTTATAAAACTGATGAATGAATTAGAATAATACACTGTAAGGCTTACTTTATTAGCTTACTTTTAGGTGTAAGAAATGGTAAATCTACTGCGTTTTATTCCATAAAAACGTTTTCATTTCAGTTGGGTATTACAGGTGACGATGGCAGCAAAGCATCACAAAAATTGTTTCACAGTGAGGAGCTGGCTTTACATTAACTGCCAACAGTTCCCACAGCTCCACGGGAGGTCCCAAATTCAGTGGCCACCAAATAATTTGGTGACATAAATATGGAGGACTTGGCGACAGATCTTATGCCAGATCACTTTGCCTCTTCACAACAACTCTGACTGATCGGAGTGATAGATGTTCTTGTGAGCACAGGCTGATGGAACTCACATCCTCAGTTGATGAACACCCGAGACAAACCCAGAGCAGGTATAGAGCTCAGGTGGAGTCTGACTGCAGATTCTCTCTCCTGGTTTTTCATGCACACACTTACATGAATACAGAGGGACATCAACATACAGCTGTTATTTTAACTTACAGGCATTTAAAATTGAACAACCACAAGAGGAGCTGCTAAGGGGCAGGACATGGTAACCAGTTTACAATTCCCAGGACATGATACATTAAAAAAAATAAAGCCATATGACTTACATTGAAAGCTTGGACTGCTCATAAGTGGGCTCAGATCTTCGCTGGTCATTTCAGCCATGTTTATGACATCACTCAGGTGTGCCACAAGAGAAGCTGATCCAAGCATGAGGTCTTATGTAAGGCCACATCAGGTGGGCAGGCATTTTGTTGCTGCTTCTTTCTGCATTGTATCGTATGAGTCCACTTGTCTTCATAAATACTTTGAGTGGTGTTGGATTTCAACATCTGGATGACTGTGATTAAAAAAAAGAGCAAATTTAGAACACAGATAATGTGTGTAGACAAGAAACATTTCCTCCATGCATTGTGCTAAAGTCTTATTTCTTTATTACTGTGTGTATGTGATCTGAGCCTGGGCATCCTTGATAGTGTGAGTGCCGCTGTGTACATTCCCTTCGTTCCCTCAACCCTCTGGACTCCTAATGCTCACAGTGATCTCCTCCTTCTTAGCCAAACCCACCGCGCCTAGCCCACCCCTGGAATTGGCAATGGCACTGCCAAGCTGCCAATAATTATCTACCTCACTGCCCTTGCTAGCAAGCTGACGGGATGGGCAGCATTTGTCTGGCTGGAATATATCTGTCTGCCTGTGCAGGGTCAATGAGTGCATCATGGTCATCCTTATCCAATATTAGACTAAATCAGGCTCATCTACAAGTCTGATTTATAGGACTGGCAACATTGTGACAGTTCTGGTCAAAGCTTGTCTAAGAAACCTCCACTTTCAGTAGCTTTTTTGTGGTAATTGGACAAAAATCGTCAATAAACAGCCATCTGATCATAAACAGAGACCATGATCTATAGCGCATAATGTGGCAGATGTGTGGTTGCAGGAAAAACCACCCTAACTGTCAAGGGCTGTGGTGTGACTCATCCTGGGATCTTGTCCTCCATATCCTCCTCCACCTCTCATCTCATTACTAACTGATGCTAACCCAGCAGACTACAACACAGTCACCAAAGTCATTTTTATTATCCTGGGCAGGAACCAGAGGGCTCTTTGTGACTCATCTTTAATAAACCTGCATGGAGTTAAGTTGTTGCTTCCTGAAATGAACTACTGCCACTTTTATTTCTCAGGGAGCATCATTGCATACCTTTATGGCTCAACCACAAGTGACAAATTGATCTGGGTTTGAAAGGGACAAAGGTTCTTCCTTTAACTCAACTCTGACTTTATATAAGAACCATCATCTCTACCACTGTCACCAAAGACTAGGCAGCATGTTTTGAAAACCTCTGTGACTCATCAGGGAGAATGCAGCAGATAGGACAGGGCAGATGCAGGCAGTATAAGCAATACTACAGAGAGAATATTAAAATGCCGGTAATGAGAAATTTGGCCTGTGACACAGATGGGACGGGACTGTTTTTCGATAGACACCCTCCTTGTCAGTCTGCAGGGTTGAAGAGAGATCTCTTGAAGGAAACATGACTAGAATTTAAGTATCAACGAGAGAAGACAAACAAACCTACAGTACATTTTAGCCTACAGGTGGTGCAAACTGGTGTTTTTGTGTGGTGATGCAGATATCTGTGCACAGTAATTCATGCTGTGTGCTATATGTGGAAATGATTTAAAATTTCTATTTATGAAGGATCATTTCTGTTGTCTGTCTGTTGTCAAATAGTCTTTTTAAAGGTTGAGTACTTAGGAGTGGATGGCCAAGCCTGCACCCCTATTTATCTCAGTGAAATACCCTCTGGATGGGGACACCGTCGTCCTGGTAAAGACCACTCATTTATTCAGGTTTTTCCTTTAATTTGTCAGGTGTTTATGCAGTGAGGAACAGAAGTATTTGAACACCCTGCGATTTTGCAGGTCAGTCTCCAGACCTCAATCCAATAGAACATCTTTGGAGGGAGCTTAAACTCCGCGTTGCTCAGCGACAGCCCCGAAACCTGACAGAGCTAGAGGAGATCTGTGTGGAGGAGTGGGCCAAAATCCCTGTTGCAGTGTGTGCAAACCTGGTCAAGAACTACAGGAAACGTTTGACCTCTGTAATTGCAAACAAAGGTTTCTGTACCAAATATTAACACTGATTTTCTCAGGTCTTCAAATACTTATGTTCAGCAGTGCAAGACAAATAAATTCTTTAAAAATCATACAATGTGATTTCCTGAATTTTTTTTTTAATTCTGTCTCTCAGAGTGGGAATGCACCTACAATGTGAGTTTCAGACCCCTCCATGATTTCTAGTGGGAGAACTTGCAAAATCGCAGGGTGTTCAAATCTGTTCCTTACTGTACATATACACACGTACAGAAATCAAGAAAGAGGCTAACCACAGGAGCAAGGCTCATTTGAGACCATCTGTTTATCCACAGAAAATACCTTAGTTTTGTGCTCATCAATTAATCTCTGGCTGATACCAGCTGTGCAAAAACAGTTCTTTTGGTTTGCTATAGGAAAATGTACCCCACAACGCCCTGCTTCTCTTGTCTCTCACACACCACTGGGGAACAGACCAATCTCCCTGTCCTGAAACCACATACACTGCACTACACATCTACACACTGGCCTTGCTTTGGACTGTTCCATATTATTCTGTTTTTGATAAAGTTTTCTTTATAGATTCCCTGTTTCTTCAATCAAAAATAAATTGATGAACTGATGCAACAAAGTTGAGTATATGTTTAAGTACAATGGAAACAACTGCACCTGCTTTGATCTGTACAACAGTTTAGTCTTAGGGCAGAAAAAGCCTATATCGGCAGCAAAATGTGAAAATGAATGACTGCTACATCACAAATTTATCTCAAAGTTTCTTCAGATACTTCCTTCAACTGTAACCACACTACAGTATGTCAACCAGTGAATATAATGAACATACAACTACACAAACACCATCTGGGTCCACAAATATCTACAAATTATAAAGATGCTATACCCTTGATAAGCCTTCCTGTCTCCATCTACAATCTTTAAGCGCTGAAAGATCAAAGCTGGGAATGGTGCCACATTCTCAGAGTCCAAATGACCACTTGTCTCAGCCTGGATGTGATCCTAGATATTTTTGACATCAGTGTCAATGAAACAGGCAGGCTCATTCAGACAAACTCACTCCTTCCTGGCTCAGTTCTCACAAAATCCACTATATTCATAACAAAACAGTGGTCAACAGCACAAAAGCATCAAGGACATAAAAAGCCCTTGATTCATAAGCACTGCCAAAATACTCAATACTAAACTATAACAAATCAACACCATGCAGCTGGGAATAGTTCACAACTTTAGTTGACCATTTTTCCTGATGTACAGTCTTATGAGCTCAATATCTTGTAAATATTGGAATGTTTAATCTTCTCTATTTTGTTTGGTTTTATTAGGTTTCCTAGTGGATCCATTGAGAATGAAGTACAATCCAGCCATCCATGATATTAAACCCAGGTTGTTCTTTTGTACTAAGCAAATGTTCTTTCGGCTGCACTAGATTACTCTTTTTATACATTTATGACAATTTCACCAAAAACTGAAACATTTTGAGTTTCATAAACACAGATGTTAAAGCGGAAGTGTTGCACTGAATTCCATACAATTGTACAAGTGTAACTAATAAAGTGGCTGGTGAGTGTAAATCCACTGTGTTCTTAGCTATTTTTGACCAGTTCTCTCAGTGAGACCCCCACACAATTGGGGGTTGAAGGAGATTCCGCCTTCACTGGCCTCCTCTTCTGTGGTATCCCTCAGAGGTTAATCTGGGGTCCTCTCTTGTTTCCTTTCTAAACAATATTCCATCAATCATATTACTTTGTAGCCATAATGTGCATTCTACAGATACCCAATTTTCTAGCTGCAACCTGAAAAATCAGCAAATCTAACTCATTATATCATAACTTATGTATGTAATGTATTTCTTTCCTCTCTTTATCAGTTGTTTGTGAGATTAACAAAATAAAATAAAATAGTTTTCAGTGGCATTTGTCTTGAACTGTGAAACTCTGGTCTGAACATGGCTAATCAAGTCCTTACATTTGCACATTCTTTAACATGCTTTTATATTTTTAATCTTCATTGATTGGTATTAAATATTGCAAATAACTTAAAACTTTGTTCACAGTTATGCACTTTGATGTTACATATACTGTACATAGTTTCGGTTGTGTTTTTATTTATTTTTTCTCTTGCTCGTTCACTCACATGTACACATTTAATTTATCTCAGTTTCCACTTTCCTGGACACACACCCTCCATTATCTGTCACTCTCATTTGTTTTTTCTGCTTCTCACTGGCCCCTGGCACCATCTTGAATATTCATAACTGTCTTCTGATGAGCATGCTAAATGGGTGTCATAATGATTTGGCCACATGACAGAACTGGATTGTCTTTGATAAGCCCCAACTTGAGTCAGGACAAGGCAGCAAGGAAGAAAACAGCAACAGAGAGAAAGGAGACATTGACCCCAGAGAGTTTTTTGGTTACTTTGTTGAACCAATCAGAACCTGGGAGCAGGACTGTTGGAGCAAGGACATAACAGCAATGAAGAGGTCAGCAGGAGGGCGGACCCCTGTGGCGGCCCCGGGGGTGAAAGTCATTGTCACCAGGCTTTAATGGATCCCAAAATTCCTCAACTGACCAAAATCTGTGAACGATTGAGAAACGAAAGACATTTGTGATTCAAATAGGGCCTCTGGGGGCTCCACCATGAGGTTTGCAGTTGGAAAAGCTTCTCAGAGGAAACAAACATTCTCCCATAACTTCAAGGATAAGTTAAACTTGTCCCCTTTCCTTGTCCCCAATCTCACATTTTCAAATTTTTACATCATGAAACAGTGCAACTTAAAATGATTTACTGGGAACAAAAACAAATTCTATTTAGAAAATAATCTTTTGAATTAATTCAGGTATATAACAAAATGACTAAGTAAGCAAACAAATCATGATGAGAAATAGTGAAGCACAACTTGATTTGGTGTATTTCCTGTGAAGTAATCTCAATATCAACAATATAAAACTGTAAAATTCTTCTTAGAAAGCAAAAGAACGGGTTTGTCAAGAACCTGCATTATTTTCTCTACAAGTAAGAGAAAGGCCAACATGTAATTCCAGGAGGTAATAATTTCCTTTTGTTTGTTTGTTTATTATTTATTATTCTGCTAGCAGTGGTTTGACATAAGCTATACAAACCACCTCCAAACTTGACAGCAGAAATAACAGGAAACAGTGATTGCTTTATTTGATAGTCCTGTTGGAGTAGTCCAAATTTCCTATAGGCATTTCAGAGTCCAGA